GAAAGACCAGGACTGTGTGTGAAATCCCTCAACTGAAGAGATGCCAATATGTATGTATGCACTGCTACACTTGCAGCACTGACACGACACATCTCAGAAACCTCAGACACCAACTACATAGGAGTAAACACATAGGCCCTGGTAGGGCAATACAAACTTAAAAAAAAAAAAAAAAAACACCGGCAAAACCAACAAAATCCTACATAACAAAGACGCCTTATACCACACATTATGTTTAAAGGGCCGTTGACACGGCAGCTCTCCTCAGATCACACCTCCCAGGTTGACCCGCGGCCCGGCCCAGGCGCGGCCCGCGGACCAACCACATAAAATGCCCGCACCCCAAGGGGCATCATGCATATACCTTGTTTATATGTTTTTGTTTTTTCTACTGTTTAAGTATATGTTCACGTTTCTACCACTGCCCAACACCTGAAAACTTGTAGATACGATCACACCATGCGTACCCCACCCAACACTTTAGAAGCACGGCCCAAAAACCGCAGCGCTACGACAAGGCATAAAGGGTTCTCCCCGCGCAGAGTGCCTAGCACCGGCCGCAAAAAAAACCCAAACCCCAAACCAAATGGCTAACTCACTGCAATTACTCTCCCTTAACGTCAAAGGCCTTAACAACCCCCATAAACGAAGGTTGGCAGCACAAGAACTGCGCTCGTCCAAAGCAGCAATTGCTTGTCTGCAGGAAACCCTCTTTTGTAAACGCAACCCACTGAAATTTTCGGTAAAACAATATGCACAGGCCTTTCACGCCTTTTCCCCAACAAAATCTAGAGGGGTTTCCATATTCCTCCATGATGACTGGGCATTCACGAGCAAACAACACGCCAGCAGGGATGGCAGGCTACTCATATTGGTGGGATCCTTAAATGGTATAGAGATAACCATAGCCTCACTATACGCACTCAATGAGGACTAAAAATCCTTTCTTACCTCAGCAATGAGAAAGCTAGACAGATATAAATGTGGTCATGTAATCCTATGCACGACTTATCCATTCACATACATGAGACGAACAGGGAACAAAGCCCCCAAAAGAACATCCATCTCAAAATCCACTTAAAAGTGACTTCACCGCCATATCACAGTTCATAGAGACAAACTTTAAAAATTAAATAGAAACTCACCTTTCAACATTTACAGTATATCCCAAGACTTGATATTTCTAGAGTGGCATCTTATTTAGATATAAAATCAATAAAATCTCTCCATTTTTGAGGGTTAGTTGGCATTTAAAGGATATCCAGAATTCACACACACGTGCAACAGATCAACTTGAAGAGTTTAATTGAAAAGAAAAGAATGAAACTTGATAATGCATCTGTTCACTTGCGCTACGATTTTGCTATGAGTAAATGTGAAAGGTATTTGCAAGACCTATTGTGTCTTCTGCAGTAATCCTTTGGTTATAATTACCGTAAAACAATATATACCAAACAATGCACAGCATATATCATAGTATTATTAATAGTAGATATAATCAGGGCCGTCTTTAACAAGGGGCAAACAGGGCAGCTGCCCCGGGCCCAGTTGCTCCTGGGGGGCCCAAAGCAGCTGCCCTGTGGGCCCCCTGCCTGCAGCCAGGTCTGAACAGCCCACTGGGATACTGAGAAATATCCCGGTGGGCTGCAGCAGGTGAGGTAATCAGGGGCCCCCGGCCCTTTAAGAGAGCTGCAGACCGGGCCTTGGTCTTCCTGCCTGCTGGGAGGAAGTGTTGTGAGGTCACTTCCTCCCAATTAACAGAGTGCCGGAGGAGGCGGCATACATGGAGGAGGTACAGACCAAGAACAAGCAGACTCCCATCAATCTCAGCCATCCAGCTCCCACTGGACCACAGGGAAGCCACACTTCTGTAGAGGTAAGGAGGGTGGCTAAACTATGTGAATTCATATGACTGTGTGTGTGTGTTTGTGTCAGTGTGTGTGTGTATCTGGCTGTATGTGTGTGTATCTGGCTGTATGTGTGTATGTGTATCTGGCTGTATGTGTGTATGTGTATCTGGCTGTATGTGTGTATCTGGCTGTATGTGTATCTGGCTGTATGTGTATCTGGCTGTATGTGTGTGTATCTGGCTGTATGTGTGTGTGTGTGTATCTGACTGTGTGTGTATCTGGCTGTATGTGTGTGTATCTGGCTGTATGTGTGTGTGTGTGTGTGTATCTGACTGTGTGTGTATCTGGCAGTATGTGTGTGTATCTGGCTGTATGTGTGTGTGTGTATCTGACTGTGTGTGTATCTGGCTGTATGTGTGTATGGTGTGTATCTGACTGTGGTGTGTGTGTGTATCTGATTGTGTGTGTGTATCTGCTGACTGTGTGTATTCCGCTGTATATGTGTAAATCTGGCTGTATGTGTGTGTATCTGACTGTGTGTGTGTGTGTATCTGACTAAAACGGCTGGCGTATCTGGCTGTATGCGGCGCGTATCTGGCTGTATGTGTGTGTGTATCTGACCGTGTATCTGGCTGTATGTGCGTATATCTGGCTGTGTATATCTGGATTTGTGTGTATTCCGGATGTGTGTGTGTATCTGACTGTGTGTGTATATCTGACTGTGTGTGTGTATCTGACTGTGTGTGTGTATCTGACTGTGTGTAAATCTGGCTGTATGTGTGTATATCTGTGTGTGTGTATCTGACTGTGTGTGTGTTTCTGACTGTGTGTGTGTATCTGACTGTGTGTGTGTTTCTGACTGTGTGTGTGTATCTGACTGTTTGTGTATCTGGCTGTATGTGTGTGTATCTGGCTGTATGTGTGTATATCTGACTGTGTGTGTGTGTATCTGACTGTGTGTGTGTGTATCTGACTGTGTGTGTGTATCTGACTCTGTGTGTGTATCTGTCTGTGTGTGTATCTGGCTGTATGTGTGTGTATCTGGCTGTATGTGTGTATATCTGACTGTGTGTGTGTGTATCTGACTGTGTGTGTATCTGACTGTGTGTGTGTGTATCCGACTGTGTGTGTGTATATCTCACTGTGTGTGTGTATCCGACTGTGTGTGTGTGTATATCTCACTGTGTGTGTGTGTGTGTGTATCTGGCTGGCTGTGATTGTATCTGGCTGTGTTTGTGTCTGACTGTGTGTGTGTGTGTGTGTGTCTGTATCTGACTGTGTGTGTGTAAGTGTGTATCTGGCTGTTTGTGTCAGTGTGTGTTTATATGGCTGTGTTTGTGTCAGTGTACATGTACCTTTTGTGTCAGTGTTTATGTGTATCTGTGTGTATGTATACCTATGTGTCAGTTTGTATGTGTACCTGCTTGTCTGTTTATATGTACCTGTGTGTGTATGAGTGTCAGTATGTGTAAGTGTGTATCTGTGCGTGGGGCAATTCATACATCCCAGCTAACATTGCACACAAATGCAACCCTGCATTCCAACATTAACAATGCACACAAATACACCACTGCATGTGTATCTGTGTTCCTGTGTGTATCACTGTTTGTGTGAGAGTGCATCTGTGTGACAATGCATACATCCCAGCATTCCTACGCCAACACTGCACACAAATACATATGTATTTGTGTATATATCTGTGTCAGTGTGTGTAAGTGTGTATCTCTGTGTGTGGATGTGCCAGTGTTTTTATCTCTGTGTGTGCACGTGTATTTATGTATGTGGCTGTGTGTGTATACGTCAGTCTTTGTCAGTGTGTCCAGATGTGTGCATGTATCAGTGTGCTAATGTGTATGTATATCTGTGAATGTTGACATTCATACATCACGGCAATCAAACACAACATGCAACCACACCCCTGCAAACATTACATACAAACACACCCCTGAATTCAAACTCAAAAAGTATATGGAAACACATCCCTACACTTAAACTCCAATACTACACCCTACATGCACACACATACTGTATACAACAACATGCTCACATTCAAATGCACAAACACTGCTCACAAATACAGCCCTGCAAAAATGGACAAATGGTAGATCCCCAGCTGGCATAGCATCGTTGGAATTGTACAACAGATGAGGATCTATCTTTTCTCTGCTCTTGCGCTAGAGGGAAGGCTCAAAACAATGTCTTGCACCAGGGCCCTGTCTACATTAGTTCTGCCACTGTGTTGGGGTGGAGGGCGTGATTGCA